TTTTATATTTGCCTGTAGGTAGTACATTATGCACATGATGGGTCTCCTGCAATGTCCCATTCACATTTATATTTGTTGTACTACATTTGATTCTTCTCATATATCAGTATTGAATGTAAGTTAACATTTATATTTATTACAATTCTTCTACATTTGTTGCATTTGTTTCTTATTAATATTTTGAAATCTTTGCATAGGCATGAACAGTATGAGTGTTGTATGTTCACTTGTCATCTTTAACAGGAGGCTTCTACAGGTTATATGCATTCAGTTGTAGTCACATTTATTGCTTGCAGATGAAACAAGTCAGCCATTGCAAGAGCTTAATGTGCTTTGTATGTAGCTAAGTGACATCGTCTGCTTGTAAACTACTACATTTGCTGGACATCTTCAACATTCTATATGTAGGAAGGTTACCATATGTTTATTTGTGAGTTGATTGATATTGGTATCGGGAAGATTATTTCCTTTACAACCTTCTTGCATTTTCCTACCTTTTTGGACATACTATGTTTGTAGTACAAGACTACTATCAAGTTATCAACACATGCTCCTTGACATCTACTCCTGGACATGTCAGGTTCATTGCGTAGGTTACAGACCTTCTGCAATAGCTTGTAGGTGCATGTAGCATATTCTCTATCATCATTTTCATGCAAACCATTGCATTCATTAAATTGAAGTCCATTTCCTTATGCATTTGTTTGAGTTCAATATCAATTTAAAATGAATTCCCTGTGGTCCATGCAAGTTCAAGTTCTTGTAGTCTTGTTGGGTTCAAGTTCAAACATAATCCTTTGTAGTTCGTTTAAGTTCGATCGAGTCATGTTCATGTCTATGATCATGTGCAGGTGATTGTATTTCCTTGTATACACATCGTCATTTGCATGTGACGAGTTCCTTCTAATTTCAAGTTCAGTTAACATGTCCAATTTGTTCAAGTCAAATAAGAATTCCTTTCACCTAGTTAGTTAATTTGAGTTTAGGTCTTATTATTTGATTCAAGTTTAAGTCTGAATTATTGATCATTTGATTTTAAAATAAGTTCCCTGTTGTTCAAAAGTATACAAGTTCATTTCGAGTCCCTAGTGGTTGTCCAAGTTTTGTTCAAATAAGGTCCCCTGCCAATGCAAATTTCGGCAATCTCCAGGCGTCTCGCCCGTTTAGGAGAAATTTCAGGAGTTTGGGCCTCCCTCCACACTAGAGAAAAATGTGTACGGTATGTGTTGGAAGACACCGCGGCCATAAATCATCAATCCCACCACGCTAGAGAAAGACATGTATGGGTTTTCGGGTACCTATTTAAAATGCGTAATTCTTTCCCCTATCATGCTACGTGAGCCCATAAGGGTACTTAGAAATTTCTTTGCCATGGTACAAGAGCGTGTACAGGGCTTGCCCACCTCGTCATAAACATTCCACCGGGTTTCCTTCTCACCACGCTAAAGAAAAGCATGTATAGGTAGTTTTTCGGCACGTCGCGAACGTCGAATGCCGGGATTTTGAGTTTTAAACGTTATACTTGCGCGACATGGCATGTGATGACGATGGCAATGGAAATGCATTTTTCTTTTCTTTTTTAAACTTTTCTTTTCTTCTTTTTCTTTCTTTTTATTCTCTTTTTTTTTTGCAATATTTCTCTCTTTTTTTAATGATCTCTTAACCTTTTTTCTGTTCTTTTTTTTCTTTTTTCTCCAATAATAATATAAGAATAATAATTAACAAAAATAATAACATAATTATTATAATTGATAATAATTATAATTATCAATAAATTTGTAACATAATTATTATCATTAATAATAATTCTAATTTGAATAATTATAATAACATAATTACTCTAATTAATAAAAAATTATGATAACACGATTATTATAATTAATAGTAATTATAATTATCAACACTCATAATTACATAATTAACAATAATTATAATAATATGATTATTACAATTATCAATAATTATAATAACTAATCCTAATTATTATTAATTAGAGATTAGGGATTACCTATGTGAGAGAGAGCATAGAGGAGTCGGGTCGGGTTTGGTCTGCGAACTGGATGAGTTCAGTCTGGAGTTTGGAAAGAAGAGGATGCGAGTCTGAGGATGTCGGACAAGGCTAGGAGTCGGCGGGAGCTAGGACAGTCAGCTAGGATTGACAATGAGGAAGAAGGTAGGTCCGACTAGGGCAGTGAAGTCGATGGGTAAGGGTTCGAACGAGTATTGAGGATCGGATGGCTAGCTTTGGCTCGGTGCTATGAGGAACGTCAGGCCTTGGTCGAGGGATTTGCGGCTTCAATGATGTTCAGATGGAGGAAAGGGGTCAAGAAGTTGAAGCTTCTGGCTCAGGTCGACGGGAGTTACGTATGGATTCAGAAGCTATACGTCGAGTATAGGAAGCTAAGGACTGTCGGTTGAAGGGATTGAGGTGCTCAGGAGCTTCTTGTGCGACAGAAAAATGGGAGAGGAGCGAACGAGAGCTTCGCTCTCTTTTTAACGATGCGAAAGAAACCTCGATCGAGGCGAAGCATGCGCGAGAGGGCATTTTTTGTCTCTTTTCCCTTGACTGCGGCATGGAGGTTAACAAGGGAATTGAAGGTAAACTTGAATTATGGATGTCAAACTTAGAGTCTAAAACTTTTCGTTTGAGTAGATCTAAAACCGAATATATGAAGTATAATTTTAGTAACAATACATCTAATGGGGGGATTGTGACTTTGGGCAATCAAGTTATTAATAAGATTACACGTTCAAGATATCTTGGGTCTATTATTTAGAGTGATGGTGAAATTGATGGGGATATTAATAGTAGAATTCAAGTTGGAAGGAGGAATGCATCGGTCTCAATGTTTAAAATTGCGCAATTGGGTATTGAGGCGTTTTTTGTTCATGAGACAAGGCGTAAGCCTCAAGGCATTTTGAGGCGTAAGCCTCAAAATCAAAAAATTACGTAAAATGATAATAAATGTCAAAAGTGATTTTTTATGTAATACCTAAATAATATATTAAATGATGACATATTAACATTCTATTAAATTATGAATTAACAAATTGACATACATATGAAACAAAAAAATACATAAGATATAAAGTGACAAGTGATAAATTGCGTGAAAAAGAATTAAAATTCAAATATTAAAAGAGAAAATAATATTAAATATAGAAATTGCATAAAAGTATCATATAATATCAAGTTCAACTCCAAATTTCTTCTTTCTCAATTCTCTACTCATTTACATTTAAATCCTAATGAAAGCTAAAATAGCTGGCAACAAGTTAGGAATCATATGCACTGTCATCACTAAGGTGATCTTTATCTGAGTTGTCGCCATAACAAATTGATCTATCTCTTACCTCATTTGGTAGAGTCGAATGCATTCCAATATGCTTCTTTTTAATTTATTTCAATCATATTCATCATTTAGAAAAAATTTCATTAACATAAACATGAGATTAATGCTCCAAAGTTTTAAGGGTGGTGGTGTGCAGCTTTCAAGTGATTGTTAGTGATGGTTACGACGGTGTTGGCTGTGCCGAAGGCCGTTGGCTGGAGGTAGAGGCAATCGAGAGGAAGTTGTACTCGAATGTGCATGAATGTGTGATTTATGTTAGTTTTAACAAAAAAATATACAAATAGGGTTATCGTAATCCTCACGCTAGCGAGGCGAGGCGGGCCTCAGCTAAGCTGAGGCGCAAGCCTCATAAAAAAGCTAGAGGCGTAAGCCTCAAGGCGTTTTTCACTAAAATTGCGCTGAGGCGAGCCTCAAGGCGAGCCTCATATTGCGTAATTTTAAACAATGATCAGGCTTGTTGCGTGATAGAAAAGTCCCCCTCAAACTTAAGGGAAAATTATATAAGATGGTGGTAAGACCTGCAATGCTTTATGATGTAGAATGTTGGCCATTAAAAGAGAAGCATAATATTAAGTTAAGAGTTGCAAAGATAAAGATGCTCAGGTGGATGAGCGTCTTTACTCTTAGAGATAGGATGCAAAATGAGCATATATGTGAAAAGGCTTGGAGTAGCTCCAATGGAAGATAAGATTAGAGAGAGTCGACTTATATGGTTTGGTCACATATAACAGCGGACTTCCGATGACCTGGTTAAATGTTAAGAAAGATAGAGGTAGATCTAGAAAGACTTAGTTAGAAAATATTAAAATATTAAAAATGAACTTTCTTAGTTAGAAAGGCTTGAGATTGTTATTGTTGTTGTTGTTGTTGTTGTTGTAGTAGAATTATGATAGACCGAATTGCATCCACTTCCTATCAAATTATTCTGAAGTCATACCCTCAACATTGCATATCCATTTCATAGCATTCTCCTCACAAAATTCCATTCAAAATCCTTCCTAAAGCTATGGTTAAAGGGAAGTAAAATCTAGCCTAGTTGAATTCTAAACCTTGTTTAACCCACCAAAACCTCTTAAAATTTGTTGAAAATCACCAAAATTATTTTTAAGACACTCCTCTTCCATCTCTAAGTGTTTTTGAATCTTGAAATGCCCACTAATTGAAGCCCTAAAAACATAAACTTGTCAAAATTTAGTTAGAATTCCAACACCGATGCATATCACCTTCTCATTGCATGGAACTTGAACACCACTCCATTCCAATACTTCCCATGGCTTACCTATCAACCTTAATACATTTTGGAATCCTCCCATGCTCAAAACAATAAACTATTAGGGGGTAAACCCTTGATACCACAAGACTCTTTCTCCTCTCTTTGCTTTGATCTCAATCAATGCTTTTAGCAGAGTCTTGATGTTTTTCCTAGATAACATTGGATCCAACAATTTACATCTCAAGCCATTTAATAATAAAAAAAAAACATATGCTTCATTTGACAAATGACACTTAACTAACCACAATAGTTAACAATGCCAATAACAAATTAATAACAGATAACATCGTTGACTTCAAAATAACAAAAAGACAAACAAGCCCTAGGAAAAAAATGAAAATAAGACACGAATAAACATGTAAATAGATGCCAACCTCAAGAGCTCTGCACACTTTATCAACCTCTGGAGCATAGTTGACCATTTCTGACGTCATTATGAGCTCAATCACGCCAACACAGGACTGTCGAGAGGGATCAAAGACTGGCAAACCCAGACTTCCCCTTATATTGTAAAGGAGAGCATGACTGAGGCGGGGGTATTCTTTGTTGCTGTAGTACTGAACATTTGGCGTCCACTCCGGCTTTTTTAGCTTGAAAACCCGGCCGGGGAGGCCAAGAGCCGCATCATTATTTTCATCAACTGAAAACAAGTACATCAACGACACATTTCGATACTGAAGAAGGCCATTAGTATCACGGTCAAGCTCAAAAGGTTGCTCTGATGTCGTGAGAACATATCGATCCCCATTTCTTACAGGCACCCAAACCTGCACCAGAACACGTTGATTTGTCCATTCCTTGAAATATCGGAGCGCCTGCTTCATTCTCTCCTTTATCAGATAGGAAATATCTGAAACTTCTTTTATTGGCGTTCTTGGAAAAGTCCTTATCTTCTCAATTTGCAAATTGTCGTTTTCCTTTTCAGAATCAAAATTTCCTATAAAAAGATTAGAAGGACCATGAACAATAAGATTAGCTCTACACTACACCTTTACTGAGCAAAATTTCCATAGTTTCTAGAAGGCAAACTGATATCTAAACGTTCAAAGCAATTTTTGCCCTCTTATACTGCATGATAGAAGTTTGACGAACAAAATACTGCAAGAATGATATTTACTAAAAAAAGAGAATCGAGAATAAGTGATAAGCAGCTACAAAATTGTATAAAGCATTAAACACAAGAAAAAGCGCAAGAAATGAAAATTTTCATGACCTCGTGTGGATAAATATGCAATCATCTAACCAGATAATCAGAAATAGTCCAAGCAAATTTATTAACATAATAACTATCAGAAAATTTTGGTGCTACGCAAACAAACCAGCGATTTCAGCGGTTTCGTCGTCAAATATCCATAGGGGAGATGTCGGCTGAGGAAATGATACGGCGAGATGCGAGAGACTCCGCGACGGCAGAGATGGCGAGAGGAGTAGCGGCGACGGCGGGTTAGAGAAGAAGGCGGCAGCAGAATAGAAGTTCCAGGAGTCCGAGGTGGGAGCGGTGTCGAGGTCAACAAGATCTATGGTTTCCATCGGAGGAAGCTCACACTTCTCGTCGGCTTCTTCTGCGACTACAAACTCCGACATGACGCAAGGAGGGCAGCAGCAACTTGTTCCGCATGACGATGGATAGCCTGTCACTGCAGATTTCGGGAAGACAAGTCCGCAGAAAATAGCTTATGCGCCGCCCCACCAGCAGCTATTTTATATTTTTATATGTTTAATATTTTCTTGGGGAAATTTGGCAGAGCCCCCCTATATTTAGAAAAAGAAGGGGTTAAAAAAGAATAAAAAAACACCTCTACACCTCAAATACGAGTAAAGAAAGAACTGTAACAGGGATAAGGAAAAAAACATTACAAAAAGCTAAACGCTGGGAAATCGGACTCAGGTTAAAAAGGAACTAATAATCATGGGCATAAGAATTCATTGATAGTTGAGAGAAAGAGCAGGACTTCCCTTATTTCCAATGGAGCAAAACTCAAAACAGATCATCTGGTGCAACGAGAATAGGTTGCCAAGCCAAGAAGATGCGAAGGAAGAGCAGCGTGGTCATCCATAATTTAGAGGATTTAAGGGAAGATGCTTTCTAAGGAGAATCAAATTTAGATCTAAACCAATCTGCCGTCACAGAATCATTGGAGTAATATCGCCATAAAAAAAAGCAAGCAAAACTGTGATAAAGTGAGTCAATGACATGAATACCCAAACCACCATAACATTTAAGTAAGCAGATATTTCTCTCTGCAATTAAGTGTGGCTTCTTCAGAGAGGTGGAGCCATAAAATATGAATATAAAGGTAAGTCTATCAATGAGTTTGCAAAATGACTTAGGTATAATAGTTCCTCTGATCTAATAAGCAAGAGTATTAGCAATTGTGAACTTCAAGAATTGGATCCTACCTGTAAAAGATAAGAACTTAACTTTCTAACCAGTAAGTAGAGTAAAAATTCTACTCAAGAGTTGAAGAAAGTAAGCAACAGTACGTTTTTTAGTGGAGATAGGAAGCCAAAGGTAAGTTAAGGTGTTGTCTGCTTGCATTAAACCAAGCAAAGAGGTGATGTTGTTACCTAAAAGGATATCGTAAGAGAACATAATAAAGCATTTAGCATTGTTCACATAAAGGCCAGAAAAAGCAGCAAAGTTGGAGAGAGTGTCTTTAAGGAAGCCAACATTATGCAGAGAAGCTAAGCAAAAAATCATAAGTTTATCTACATAAAGTATGTAATTAACAAAGAACATTCCAGAGGGGACACCAGTAAAGCTACTATCATCAAGAGCACAAGAGAATGCATCAATCACATTAAAAAAAAAAAAAAAGCAAAGGGGATAAAGGGTAGCCTTGCCTAAGCCCAAAAGGAGAGTTAAAAAGCCCCTCAAGAACCCTGCTAATACAAACAAAAAAATTGACATTCTCAATACATGCTCTAATCCAGTTAACAAACATTATAGGAAAGCCCTTCAGCAAAAAGCGAGTTAAGAGAAAATATCGGGAAAATTTATCGAAGGCCTTTCAGATGTCAAGCTTAGAACAAAAGAACTTGTCACTAGCATTACTATTGTACCCACTTAAAATTTCAAAAAGCTAGAATAATGTTATTAGTTGAGATTCTCTTTTGAATAAACTCATCTTGGCTTTTATGAATAATAAAAGGCATGATATCCTTCATATAGTTAGCAAAAATTTTAGCAATAATCTTATAAAACACATTGAAAAGGGATATGGGGCGGTAATCTGAGATGTTAGAAGCATGAGGGTTTTTAGGGATCAAGATAATGCCAGTGGTAGTGGCACTCTTAGGGAGGTAGCACGTGCTAAATAAATTGTAAATTGCCTTGAAAACTTGGACACCTATGATTTCCCAGGAAGCCTTGTAGAACTCGAAAGTTAACCAATCAGGCCTAGGGTAGGAGAGGAGGGCCCGACAAAAATAATAGCTCTAATCTTCTAATTAATCCCTGGAGAAGTAAGAGAAGTAGTAAGGTTAATGGGAATAGTAGTGCCAATGGGGATGGATTGGGAAGGAGGGTCGAGAGGCTTAGGATAGTTTTAAGGCTTTTAAAAGTAAAGGATAGCTTCTTTCACAATATCAGCTCTAGTAGAAAAATGTCCCTCATCCGTAGAAAGCTCATTGATGTAACTAAAGTTGTTTCTAGTTTTAATTATAGCATACAAAAACCCCAAATCATCTTCGCCCTTGGAGACTCAATTGGAATTAGCTCTCTGAATCAACCATAAACTCCAAGCCCCTTGAAAGGAGGAGAGAGAGGAGTTTACCTCCTTGAAGGTAGAGTTGAGGGCCAAGTCAAGAGGGTTACTTTGAATTTGAAGCAAATAACAATTTTGTATGTCTTAGAGAGCAGATATCCTATTAGTGAGAAAGGTAGAGTTGCCCATTGCTTATTTGTAATAAAACTCTTGAGATTGTAAAGCTTTGTGTAGAATACATCAATAGGACTACCCAAGCAATGAGAAGAGAAAGCAGTGATTGCACCTTCCCAGAACCCATTCATATTGGTCAAGAAGTTCTTAGACTAAAATATGTTATTTGTAGAAGCAGGCTCACCCGAGAAAGCATCAGAGGAGAGTGGTCCGAACAGAAGGGGATTCCACCTTATATAAAGAGGAGGGGAAGTTTTAAATCCAAGAGGATTTAATAATGATTTTGTTGAGCTTGAAATGTATAGGTCCTTAATTCATTTATTGTACCCGATATAGAATAGACCAGTAGAAGCAAGCTCCAGCATGTCAGAATTGAAGATCCAATTGTTCATTTCCCTAAGGCGGTTATGATGAAGGGCCCTGCCGACTGGTTCTTCATTTTTAAACCTACATTAATTAAAATCTCCCTTAATGATCTAGGGAGAGTTAATAGAATCGGCCAGGCTCAAGAAGAAGGGCCCAACTAGAACCTCTCCCACAGGCATGTATGGGAGCTGGTCCTTTTGACTGAGGATTGATATGGCATAAAGACGATGAGTGGATGTAGATCAAGGGGAAGACTTCCAATCATAAAGCGCTTTCAGACATACATCCTTACCATCTAAGAAAATGGGGATTTCATCTAGCAGGGATGAAGTGCTAGAGACCATGACACACACTATAACAAATATGAGTCGAGTTTTTCGAGCTATGAGGGCTTCAACTGTATAAGGTGACCAATGAAACGATCAATATTTTAAACGCTAATGGGGTTTCAAATGGCTAAAGACAAAACAATGATTTTTATCCATAGAGGAATGGAGGAGAACTTGTAAGTCCGAAAAGGTTATTAGATCTAAAGCAATTGTCCCTAGGCTAACTAATAGGGGGTGAATTGGTAATTTAAAAATCTCTTGATAGATTGGAAAAACAATTTTTATAATTTTATAAGCACAATGAAAATTTATCAAAATAAAATTTTCAACCACAAATTAAAAGTGCAAAAAATTAAAAATGTAGTAAAAAAAAAGAATGCTGAAACCTACATCCACTCGCTGAAGACTTCCTCTTCAAGTATTACACTATACCAAAGTGGATCTCTTTTTGCTCCTATAATAAGACGGAGAAGCCCTTACACATAACCTCTCTTGCACCAATCTCCAGTGTGGAAGAGTACCGTCATCCTTTCACACCCTCCAAGTAGTTGAAGAGTACCTTCCTCCTTTCATAATCTCCAAGTGTCAGTAGAGTACAATCATCCTTTCACACCCTCTAAGTATTGATATAGTACCATTGTCCTTTCACACCCTCTAAGTATCGACAAAGTATCGTTTTCCTTTCACACTCTCCAAATGTTGGCAGAGTACTCTAGTTCTTTCACACCCTTCCAAGTATCGGTAGGGTACTATCATTCTTTCACACCCTCTTAGTATCGGCAGAGAATTGGATCTTCTCCAATGATCTTCTCTCAAGCATCATCAAAGAAGTAAGGAAGTGATTTGACAAACTTATAAAGAGATCCTCACCTTTGGGTAATTTTGTGAACCCTTCATAAATTTCACTTGCAAGATCTATATATCCACACTCTTAAATACTCTCTTAAAGCATTCTCACTTTTTCTCTCAAAGAAAATTCAAAGAAGTGTTCATTTTAGTCAGTTCTTAGGAGTCTTAAAGAGGAAAGACATGAAAAACTGACCAGAAAATTGAAAATTTCAATTTGACTATCCTAGATCATATAGTACGATCACATATCGTATATATAATCAGTTCAAAATTTGCTCGTACGATCCTGTACAAACTAATTTCAAACTCTAATTGACATGTGTATGAATTAACATCATATAGTATGATCAGTTTAAAATTGAATAATCCATCTATTACGATGTTGTATGAACTAATTTCATACTCTGGATAACGTACTGTACTTAACCCATATCGTACAATACAATATATTTTCGCCAAACCATGTTTTATTTTGTATAAAAATAGATGAGTCTATTTCATACTCTAGACATCATCTGTACGAACCTATGATTGTAAAGTACAAACAGTTCAAAAAAATGTACCTATTCGTATGGATGAAATGATACTTACCCATTTCATACTCTCGACATCATTTGTACAAACCTATGATCATATAGTACGAATAGTTTAGTAAACTTTTTAGTTCATTTGGGATGAACTGGTACATAGTCATTTAAAACTCTATTCATCGCCTATATGAATGTAACTTCGTATAGTATGAATAGGACTTAGAAAATTTTCCATGCCATGGTTTGATTAACTCCTTTCTGGAGGAACAATCAGTTAAATCATCCCATATGATCCCAAAATCATACAGTATAATTAGTTTAAAAAATACAAGTTTTTAACACTCCCCCAATGTGTTTGTGCATGGTTACCCAATTACAATCACACTCTCACACACTCAAGAAAAAATATAAAAAGTATAGACTTTAATTATAATAAACCCTAATCTAATCTGTCTTGAAGTCTTCAGCATTCTGGAATATGATTTCCCTGAAATGTTAGTACACACAAATAACAAAAGAAATATTTCCAATAAATGTTAGGAGAAACAATAATCTATATAATAAGATTTTGGAATCATAAAAAACACTCATAATATAAAACATGGCTATGAAAACTAAGTTGCAATAATCTCTTCCTTTTTATGATGACAAAGTAAATATTATTTGAGTTAACATTTAAAGTAAATTTTCTACTTAGCTCCCCCTAAATGAATGCCTAATTAGCTCCCCCTAAATGAATGCCTAATTTAAATCAAGTAGTTCTCATAAAGATTAAAAAAAAAAACCTAAAAATTAAAAAGAAACAACAAACAACAACTACTAAAATAAAAAAACAACTTGAAAAAAAAAATACGAACACGAACATTCAAAAATTCAAAAGATACACACATTGCACACATTCACAATACAACATATACATATACATAACACATATATATCAATCATCAAACAATATTATAACTCCTCCTTCTGATAACAACAAAAAGAGAAGTGCATCTTGAAATGAAAGTTTTCTTTGGATAAACCAAAAGAGTTGAAGAAGAAAATGATTTTAAACCAATTGTAAATATAATATTAACTTCGTAATATTAAAAATAAAATTTTTAAAATTTTAAATCAAAGAACAACTAAGATAAGAAAAGTTAACCAGGTTCATTGTTCATGCTAGAAAAATTAAATAAAAAATCGTTA